TCCTAGCAGTAGAGGATCAGTGGTTACCTAGAGCAGCTTAATTAAGCTCTTCTTGGGTTGAAAAGAGCCCGATCCCCTGGCTACAGATGCTGCTAGTCCAAAGTCCATACCTGCGCTCACTCAGCACAAAGCTTCCTGTTGAGACTGCCAGAGCAGGCCTGCTTGGAAAAAGCATGCAAGGCTTCAGGGGACAGTAGGTTCATATGGCGTGGTCAGACGAGGATCTTTATGTTGCAACGCCCACCTTATAGAGCCTCCAGGAAGCGGAAATTCAGCTGGGGGATGGCCTCACTGCTATGGCAGTCTCGGCTTGGCTGCCGCCAGCTGACCTGCTGGCCACTCTCACCTACCACTGCCCCTTAGGGCAGAGGGCAGGTTCATGGTTGAGATGGGCATGTCTGCTTTCAGAGGACTGATGTCTCTCTGTGGCGTAACAGAGGGGGACAGAACCCAAACAAATGGCAAACAAATGCAGATATAAATTATAAATACAACTGGAGAAAGAAGGGACATATTTAGGCAAGATGGGCAGGAAACTCCTCTGAGGAGTCTACCTTGCTAAACAGATACTGGAACAATGAAAAGATACCAAGCATGGGAAGGCGGAGTGGAGATGGCAAGGTGAGTGTGTCACAGCCTTGAGGTGGGAAGGACTGTGGTACATTCATGGGACAGAAAGGAGGCAGCTGCAGCTGAAATGAGGCTGGCAAGGGAGGTGAGTGGGGCGGATCGGGAGGTGGAGGAGCAAGGCCAGTCTTATGGGCCAAAGTGAGGCTTGGGCTTACCCAGGGTGCATCAGGAAGCTTGGGAGGCTTTTAGGCAGAGCAAGCAATGACCAGAGGGCAGTCTTCAACAGGCTACCCCTGGACACATGCTCCTCTGGGGACCTACTCTTTTGTCAACAACTCCACCCAAATTTTCCATTGAGAGTGGCTGAGGAGCCCAAAGTCTTGTTTTGTGATCTACCTAGCTTTGCCTCTTACTAAGGGTGCCTGGAAGCTCATAGTTTTCTCTGTGTTCACGACGCCTGTTACAAAGGTGTGTACACCCACACCCACGAAGGCCAAGCACCAGGCAGGCAGATCCTCAAACTGCCATTTTCAACTATATTCAGGGGGCCTTCCCATTAGCTCAGTTGTTTAACTGCCTGCTTAAGCAAAGTAGTCAGGCTCAGGATGCTGTGATTCGATGCCCGGATCCTCATGCCTTACCAGACCTGCCCTTAAGGCATACTGAGCCAGCCTAAAAAAAAAAAAAAACCTTCAACTATTTCATACAGTTCTCTGTTCTTTCAGTTCATTAGGGGCCATAACAGCGAGCAGTGGAGAAAGGTTTCAGTCCACAAGGGATTTAGCTTCTGTCTGAGTTTTACAATGTTTGAGTAAACCAAAAGATCACACGTCCTGGCTGAGAGAACAAAATGAATAATCGATCTGCTTCAACTATTTTCTGGATTAATTCAAGTCTATGCAAAAATCACAGTATTTCTTTGGAACTAAAAGTATTATTAACAATAGCCAACACTAAGCACTTACTACAAGCCCAACAATGAGCTTGTGAGGCAGGTGTTACCCCATCCCCATTTGACAGAACAAGATTGTAAGGCCTAGAGAAGTAAGTAATCTGTCAGTGTCACCGGGCTAGGTGTTGACAAGGGCTTGATGGCCTGGCCCCCGATGCCGCCAGCCCCCAGGGTCCCTACCTGGCGTGTATTATGCATCTTCAAAGCTAATGGTCTTAGCTGTTTCATGACTTATAATTTTATGGACACATAAACCAGTGTAACTATCAAGTGACATTTTGGAAAAAGAAGACCCCGTGAGACTCAAGTCTTGTTAGATTTGAGAAATTAATTCAAAGAACCAATATTTATACTTGTATTATTTGCTCAGACTAAGAATCTATGTAAGTAAATAGGGAATTTAGAAATATACCTACCAGAAGGCTAGCATGAAGGGTTGGGGACATTAGTTCAGTGGTGCAGTGTCTGCCTGCAAACTCAAGGCCTTGAGTTTGATTCCTGGTACTTGTACAACAAAACCCCAAAAACCTAGCACAAGCGGTTTGCTAAGCATATGATAAGGGAAAGGCTATTTAATAATGATGACTGCACAAGTGGTAACAATTTGTGAAAAAGCAGATGAGTTAAATATACATTTTGCTCCAAATAAATTAGAACAGTCATCAAACATGGAATTGTACAAAAGTAGATTAGGTGGGTAGAAGATAGTTCATTTTTCAGCACTGAAAAAAATCACAAAGGACTAGAATGACAGATTGAACATTAGAATAAAACAAAAAAGAACAACAGGTTGGAAAATATTTGCATCACTGATAACGAAGGAGTAATAGCTATAAAAATGCTTGTTGGAAGTCTGAAGAGGTTTGAGTCCCCAGCAGATGAATGGATATGAATAGGTCATTCACAGAAAGGGAAACACAGATAGTAAACGCATGGAAAAATGCTCATTTTTGAATGGTAACCTAAAACATATTAAGGTAACCTGCAATTACTAATAGATGTTATTAATGCAGGGCAGACAAGATGGCACTCAGTGCTTAGAAATGTGTGTCCAACTCTGTACACTTGTTGCTTGTAGGTGATAACTGGGGCAGCTCTCTGCAGACATCGTATAGCAGCACTGTAGGGCAAAACCGCTTGGCCGTTCACAGCCTTCCAGCTAGATTTTCCACTTCCAGGTATTTATCCCAAGTGCAGAACTCAAGCATGTATTAGCAAGTAACTTCAAAGAAAATGTACCAGATTAGCGGACTAAATGACTGGATAAAGGACACTTTAAAAATGTTAACCAAAGTGTCAATGGAAACAGAAACATAGGGAAATGTGTAGCTACAACTATATTTAGGTTTTATTTTTGAAAAGTCAAATTCCGTAGTAATAAGTGGATACTTGGTCATTTTTACATTTTCTTTCTCTGGCTGTCTTACTGTCTTTTAAAGTGATGCTTAAATAAAAAATGTGGATTCCAAACCAGCCTTCATTGGGACTTTGAGCAAGTCATAAAATTGGAGCTGTTTCGTCAGGCAGTGGAAATCCGTGAAAAAATGGCCTGAGCAACGTCTGGCACAGTAGGTGCCCCAGAACCAGGGTTGGGGTTGGGGTGTGGGTGGCACCTCCTCCCGGCAAACCTAGAGCCAAGGGCGCCCAGAGCTAGATTTCCCTCCAGAGTCCTGGAGTCTGGCTGGACACTCCCTGGTCTCTCCCTCGAAGGCGCTGGACTCTTTTCTAGGGAAACTTTCAGGAGCAGGTGGAGATGTGTGCCCGTGCCCTAGCATACGCACTTGCGGGGTCAGGACGACAACGGAGAACACAGCAGCCCGTGGGTAGTTCGGGCCGCGGGGTTGACTTGCAGCCCCTTGGAGCTTCCGCTCCCACCCGGGCTCCGGGCTCTTCCGCCCGAATTCGGCGGCTGTCCTGTGTCCCCTCGCTGCAGTAAATCTCAGCTGTACGGGCGCCTCCCGAGGAAGCCTGGGGATCTCAGGCGCGCCCCGGGCCCGAGGCGTACTTCGCCGACGGGGTGTTTGGGTGCCCTTCTAGGTCTTCAAAGGAGCGCCCGATCCCTCACATGGGTCAGGCTGGAGGGCGCGATTCCCAGGGCCAGCGGCGCTCGGTGCTTCTCTCCGCTAATGCCATCTTGCCCGAGGCAGTCGCGCGCGGGCCACAGCGGTGCGCTTAGCCACAGCAGAGACTCTAGCACCGGCCCGGGAACTCCGTCCAGAAGCGGAGGCGAGGCCCTCTCCCAGAGTCGGCACAGGGCCGGGACGCCGCCGGTTCTCGAGGGCGCGTCTCGGGGTTGGGGCCGGTCTGCTCACGGCCGGAGCGGCGTCGGGGAGCGGAGGCCCCCTCCGCGTGCCCCGGCCTCGGTGAGGTGCGGCCGGGGGCGAGAGAAGGGGGGCGGCGCCGGAGCCCCACGGTCCTGAGCAGCGGACGCCGAGCCGCCTGCGCC